TTCTTTACTTTCAGTATATATATATATATATATATATTAAAACTTTTTTTTGATAGTGTTATAAAAATGCCTTAAAACAAAATGAGAATAAAAAGAATTAAAATTTATTATTACTTGCATGCATTCCAAAATTGTTAATAAACCCTTATTTTTTCCAGAAAATTGTAGTCCCGCAGTGGACTGATCGTTAAGACGCGGTTCCCATCAGATCACCGAAGTCAAGCATCACTGGCTGCGGTCAGTGTGCGGTTCGGTGACCACTTGGATCAGTCTGCGTAGGGACCGAGGGTGTGCGGTATTGGTCCTCGTTAAACTGTGCTACCGTAAAGTGCTCGACTTCGCGTGCATGTCGTCGGGCTACCGAAGCGGAGGTGCCATCCCCTCTGCAGAGGATCAAAATTGTGATGGCATGTCTTCGGATCATCCTCAGGGATATGTTTCCCAGACCGCCGCCAATTGCCCATTGTGCAGCTCTAGTGCGACGTAAATGAACAACAACAACCAGAAAAGTATAGTTTAATTAAAATTCCTTTAGATTTATATTTTTACTTAATAATTTAACTTCAATAAAAACCGAAAAAATTATAAGCATATACGTTTTTCTTAAATGGTTTTTAAGATATTGAAATAGTTTTTCTTATCTACCGAACGAGTATGTATTGGGGATAAAATAATTAACATAGCAAAATAAACTAAAATATTTTGTGCATTAAAGTTCTGAAAACTTGCACTCGAACAACTTCTCGAAATTTATAAATATTCTTCCTAAAAGTATCTTAAGTTAAAAGAATATTTTATCATCATTGCAAAAATAACTTTTTTCTGAGGTATATAAAAAAACAACTCAATAGCAACTTAATCTTGCTTTTTTAAATAACAAACATTGTTAGTTTACGCCATTAAAAATCGTGTATGGAATTTAAAAAAGAGGAATTCCTTAAAGTTTCGATAGTAAATTTGAAACATCTATCGATCGGGAGGAAAGATCCGTGTTGAACCCTCAGCGTGGTTGCCAGGGCCCGTTGTTAAGATTAAATGACATAGTTTCATTTCTTACGCTTCTTTATAACTGAGCAACTTTACTAACTTCAAAATAAAGATAGATAATAAAGCAATCAAGCGTAAGCTTACATAAGCAAAAAATTCAAGTACCCATTTTTGCCTTATTTTTATGCACTTTACCTATTAAGTCACAATGAATAACTGTCTTTGATAAAATAATGTGTCTTCAAAATAATATCATCCGATGAATTTGCACTATAGGATTTAACTATATTAGTTCTGTGCTTTACTAAGTAGATAAAAATCAACCAAAAAATAATAAGTTTATAGCAATTTTTTCAACATTATATGTGCGTTATTGCTGTATTAAAATTGTCAGTTTTTAGTTATTGTCCTTTATACTTAAAATCAAAGCAATTTATCAAATGCTTATGAGTAAATTTCGCACTGAGTCAAGTTAAAATGGGTTTTTGAAATAAAGAAGTGGCTTTTATAATCATTTTAAACATTTTGTTCCCAAATATTTTGTTTTATTTGTCTTGTGCATAAATGCATGTTTTGTGCATATTGATAAAAAATCACCGAAAACTATTCTTAGTGCTGGAAACAGTTTAAAGTTAATTTCTTTCATTACAAATATTGTAAGTTATTGATTTGTTAAAAATGCAGTTAATGACACTAATATTCAAAATCAGAGCAATCAATCAAATGCTTCTGAATAGTTTTCATACTAAGTGCTAACGCTTTTATCAAAAATGAAATTGCATGGTAAATTTTACCATATTCACATAGTTTTGATTATATTTTTTTTCTCAAAGTACTAAGTTAATGTTGTGCATTACAGCAATGATAAAAATTTGGGGAGAAATAATGCGCAAAAACGGAACAGCTTTAATTTAATTTCTTCACAAATAAATAATGTGAAATTTAAGTTTGTTAAATTTTGTAAATCGTAAAGTATTTAATTCTTAGTTACTTGCATTAATATTTAAAATTTGTGCAATCAAAGAAATATTTCTAAATAATTTTAGTGTTAAGATATCGACTAATTTATTAAGATATTGATAAAATATCGACTTGTTTAATCTTTTACGCAATTTGTATTTAAGGTATTTACTTTGTTGGTCTAGTGCATTATGTTCATAAAAATTCCACTGAATTTATATGTAAGAATGGAAACAATTTTAAGTTAATTCCTTCTCTAATGAAAGTTTTACGTTTTTGAATTATTAAAAATGCATGTATCTATTGACACATATGGTTAAAACCTTACTATCAAATGCTTTAAGAGAATTTTTATGCAAAGATAAACTGTGTTTTAGCGAAATAAAATTGAAACTAATTTGAGGACTGTAGCAATTAACTCAAACATTTTTCTTTTAGTTTATTTTAACTTATGATTACAGTAAGTTAGTGATCATAATTTCCAGTGAACTATTACCATAAGAACAGAAAAATTACCAACTGAATGATTTAAATACGCTATATTTAGATTTTATTAACCAGAATTATGCTTTTTCTTTTCAAAATAGATGCTTAAAAATAATATAGAAAATCTTCTGTCCCAATAGTATAACAAATAAAGACCTTTTAACAAAAACTAATATCCCATCTGTAAATGAAAAAAATTTAAAACGAAGATGGAGATGGCTCGGGCATATACCAAGAAGAGATAGAAACAATCTTGCAAATGTTGGAAGCTCATGGGCACCTGACGGAAAGAGAAAAAGAGGAAGACCGAGACTTGCATGGCAAAGATGCATTAGGGAAGATCTTAATAGAGCATGATTAACTAGATGGGAAGAAGCACGCTGCCTAGCCAAAGACAGGAGTGTGTGGAGAAAAAGACTCGAGGCCTTATGTGCCAGTTCGGCATGAAGAGAATAAACAAGTAAGTTTTATCATATAAACGGAAAAATTACCAACTAAATGGCTTAAATGCAGTATATTTAGATTTTATTAACTAGAATTATGCCTTCTTTTACCAGAAATGTCATTACCATACAATACGGTCATTTTTCCAGAAATTTTTCTCCGCGTATTACTCACATAACTTGATCGCACAACACAAATAATAAATACTTGATTTTTACAAAATTCTTGAAAAAATTAAAAACAAATAAAAAAGACGTATAAGAATCTATGACCTGAAAAATTAAATAATAGGTGATTGCACATTAAAAGGATTTTATAGAGTGGTGGGTACAGATTACTATTGTTTCACAGACCTATTGCTTACAATTATTTGCAATTAGTATTCTGTGTCCTACTAATGACGTATTATGTGACCTACTATCCTACTAATTGCCCTACTAATGTCATAACAACTGATTTCAAAACATGTGGTGCTTTTGTGCAGGCTTTTGTTTTTCGCTGTAAAAAATGAAAGTTTAAATTTCGCAAAACTTTCCTCTTTTTTGACGAAACCATTTTTTCAAAAATGTCCCAAGTAAAAATTTTATCAAATTGTGGAAATTACTTTCATTTGTTTCAAGATACGAAATTTGTCAAAAACAATAGGTTTAATACAACTTATTGATTAACACTTGGTTAGAAAATACAGTATAAAATCAAAACACGAGTAGTATAAGTACATAGACTATATGTCATCAGCAGGATCTGTCTGACAAGTAAAAACTCTAGCATCTGTTCATGCTGTTAGAAACAATTTCTAGCCTGATTTTTAAAACCTGATTCTTAAAGATATTTTTTTTCATAATTGAAAAATTTGAAAGCTTTTACACTCAAAAGCATTTACTTCTGAGTGCAATATTTTTACTTCTGTACTTCTTATTATTTTTAAACAATAATTGTAGAATCTAAAATGAGAATTACCTTAAAAAATAATGGATCCGAGATAAGATTCCCTGTGTATATGATTAATGTTTTGAGAAACAGACTTAAAAGTTTAATGTGTAAGAAAATTTAAATTAAATTTCATTTTAATATACACTTGTATAACTTTATTAATAAGGTTATTTTTTCAATAATAAAAAAATGAGGACATTTACATAGCAAATCATATAAATTGGTTCGGTTTTAAAAATTTGCTTTATAAAATTGTTTGATTAGTCTTATTAAAAACTGTGTAAAATAACAAATTGTTACAAAAATATAACCTCTCTTTTATTAGTGAAGCACAAAATCCCCTTTATATAATCCTAATTTTCACTAAAACTAAACTAAACAGTATACTTCTCAATAAGTATTTATTTGTATTTGCACTTCCACGAAAAAAAAAAACTTCTGAACAAAAGACATGACTTACTTGTCTGATGGGATCCCTCCCTTGGATTTTTATCTGTGGTTTCACTATTATTTTGTTCTGTTTCAGTGGCATTTTCAGATTGTTCATCCGTGTTTTCATTACTTTGCAAATCCACGTTCGGTTCTTCTTTATGTTCTTCCTCTTTCGTGTTTTCTTCTTCTTTAATGTCTTTCGCTTCAGAATCATTATTTGTATCAAGCTCATTGTTTTCCTCGGTCGCTTCATTTTCTTCTATTTTTTCATTTTCTTCTTTTTCTTCACTTGGTGTATTTTCTACTGCTTCTTGATTTTCTGAGGGATTTTCTTCGAGAACGTCTTCTGTAATTTCTTGGGTGTCTGGGGCAGTTTCTCCTTCAGTCGTATTTTCATTTACAACATTATCGGTATCATTATTTTCCATGTTCTCATTTTCTTCTTTAGCTGAGCAGGTTTGATCTATTGTTTCTTCATTTGAAGCCTCTTGCTCCTCATTTTTATCCACGTTTGCCTCAATATTTTCATTAATGTCTTTATTTTCAGTATCGGCATTATTTTCCTCCTCATCTTTAGTTTCCTCGTCTTCTTTATGTTCTTCCTCGTCTTCTTTATGTTCTTCCTCATCTTTAGTTTCCTCGTCTTCTTTATGCTCTTCCTCAACTTTAGGTTCTTCATCTTCATTATTTTCTTCCCCATCTTTACTTTCATCTTCTTTTTCCTCAGATTCTTCAATATTTTCAGCATTATCTGGATTACCACTTCCTACTTCAGCAACAGTGATGACTTCAAAGTTTTTCGATGATGCCTCCGTGCTTTCTTCTGGAATGGGATCCTCATCAGCATTTTCTTCAATGTTCTCATGCTCTTTAACTTCAGTATCAGCAGGTTTGTCAATATTTTCTTCTTCATCGTTGCCAGTTTGTACAACATTCTCGGCAGTTTCTTCTGTTTGCACCTCTGCTTCTTCTTCGTTTGCTTCAACGTTTCCCACAGCATCTTCTGCTTCATTTTCGTCTTTATCTATTTCAACACTTTCGTCCTTTTCTTCGTCTTGATTTTCTGCGACATTTTCTGAGTCTTCAACTTTGTCTTCCTCGTTATCTTTAGTATTTTCTGAATCATCCTCTTTGTTTTCATTGTCATCTTCACCTTTATTTTCTTCCTCATTTCCATCAATTTCTGTTGCATTTTCCGATTTTTCTTCAGGTTCCTTTACATCGTCTGATTCTGCAACATTATCTTCAGTTGTTTCTATATCTTTCTCCTCTTTTTCGGGATTTTCAGTAGGATCGGCACTTAATTCATTTGCTGTAGTTTCGTCAACGCTTTCTTCTTCCTGAGTTTGGGTCTCTACTTCCTCAACAGCTGCTTCATCTTCATTTGATTCAATTAAATCCGCTTCTACACCAGCGTCTTCGTCATTTTCTTCCTTAATATCATTGTGTAAACTTTCATTCGTTTCCTCTTCCTCAATAGCATCTTTTTCATCACTATCACTTAATTTATCTTCCGAACAGTTTGCTGAATCATCAAGGTCATCATTTGATGACTCTCTTGACTCTCTAACTTCACCTGATTCTGTTTCATTTTCTCTGGATTCTGGATTGACCTGAAGGTCAGTATCTTCAGAAACCTCAGATACAACACCAGTTTTATTTTTTGCATTTTGAAAGAATATGGAATTTTTCCTTCTTGTGTATTTGGATGATTTCTTATATTTTCCCTCTGAACTTGAATTAGAGTACATGCTGTCTGAACTAGTGTTTGGAGAAATTTTATATATATCACCATTAATTTTCATGTCAGATTTATGAGATTGAAGATAAAAGTCAGCTGATCGTCCTTTCTGTAAATGAACAGTACATTAATAAAATATATATAATTGGTGAATAATTATTGAAAACAGTTCGACAGTAGTAAAAAAAGGGTCATAACTCAATTAAAGTAAAATAGTGTCACATAGCTATTATGAACAGTTTTAGCTTCATTAAACTAGTAAAGCGCTGAAATAATAACTTTATATAGTTAAGTGTTTATGTATGATATATATATATATATATATATATATATAATGCAAATTTTTCATTAAAATTGCCAAACAGTTTTGTTCGTGTTGAAGTAATTTGTACTTTCTACTGATAAATAATACTTTAATTATTACTCTTTCAACTATGTCTAAATAAACAGCTTATATCTAGCCATAAACATCACAATTATAAAATTGTAAGTATATTTTATAAAAATAAATATAAGGGGCATTGGCTCAATACAGGAAGCCGCTTGCTTCTATTGAGACTTAAAGTTTCTTAAATGCGATGTTAGCTGCTTTATTTTTTACTATACTTAATAAAATCAATACAAGTTAACAAAATGTCTAAAATTATTATTAGAAATAAAACATTCACTGAAAATTAGCTGATTAAAACATACCTAGAAAAATATATTAAAACAAATAGCAATATACAGTGTTCATTAAGAAGGAAAAAAGGGGATGATCATCTAATTATAAGATTTAATTATCGCTGATATGTTTTGAAGAAATCAGTTTAAACACTTGTAAATCTAACTGATTCTTATCGTTTGTGTTCATTCAATATTTTAAAAAATTAAAAGTTAGTACTTTCTTTTAAAAGAATTTAATTGCGAACAGGATGGCAATTTTTACACTTTATAAAGTCTGCTAAACAGTCAAACTTCTATGTAGAAAAGGTTTTTACACCTATTAACTCAACCGGTTTTATATTTTAATAAATAAAAAAAATTTTACAAATTCATTTAAGTCATTATTATTTTTTTGCATAATATTTTTATATAAATCCATTCAGTTATTTGAGTAGGTTCCTAACAAAATAAAATCTAAATAATGTATTTTATTGCAAAAACTTCTTTTGCGTTGAAAAAAAAATTTCTTTTTTTAAAAGGACATTTTCCCGAAAACCATTAATTCCATATCTTCAATAGTTCGAAAGTATTGAACAATTTATAACTTAATAAATAGCTATTAGTTAAAAATATGTCCTTTATATATATATATATATATATATATATANTATATGTTCCTTCAAGCGACTTACGTAATAGATATTAAAATATTTTTGTTTTTAAGAATTTCCTAATTTTCCTGAATAATTTTTAAATTATATTTTAAAACTAGGTAAAGAAAAATACTGCATAGAAATAAGTTAATGTTTAGTAAATATCATATAGACATATTAAGCAGCAAGTAAAACTACTGTAGTTATTTTTCTTTTGCCTAACACTTTCTCCCTACGCGTTGATAAACGAAAAATAGCTTTATATCCACTTTGTTAATTCAATTTACTCAATGCCGGCAAGTAAGAAACTCATGAGGGAATCAACCGATGAGAAAAGAAACAGTAGCTAAAAGCTGGTAGAAACAGTAAGTGCAGCTTTGTTAACAGAGCTTATACTTCTTACAATCGAAGAGTTTACAAGGAATAAAAAAAATAATCTTTTTGTGTTATTAAGTAAAAGGATCTCTTAAAAGAGATAGGTTATTAAATGAAACTTAAGAGTATTGATATTTAAATATTTAATTTCATGTAGAATAATTTTTTATGTTTGAAATGTATTTAAAATTGTATTTTCATTATATTTGCTTTCTTTTCATTGTTCATTTTATTTACATTTGGTTATTTACTCAGAACCCGATGAAAATAAAAGTTTTATGAAATTTAATAAAGTAAAATATTACTCATCTCATAAATCTCCGTAATTAATAGTCGTTTTATTTTTAATTATAATTATTTAAATTGTCTTGTAAGAAAGACTTTTTGTCTCAACGAAAAGGTTAAAATCCTCAAAAGAAGAAGTCCTTTTAAAAATAACACATTTTAAAAAAATAGGAATGAAAAATTAAATTTATTTTTGTTCTCCTCACACTATTGTATTGATATATTTTGCTTTAACTGTATTAATTCAATACTGGAAAGCACTCTAGTTTGTATGGATATAATTGTGCGAGCTGATGGTGAAAATATATATTTTCGTTATTTTGTGTTCTGGCTTTTTATTTAATTTTTTTCCTAATTTTTTTTATATTTTTTCTTTGTTTTTTTTTATTTTCTTAATTTTCTGTGTTAATCTCACGTTTTTTTGTTTTATTTGTTTTCAATTGTTTCAGTTAGCTGTGTCATTTTTCACTTATTTTTGGGACAGGTTTAAGTAGTTTTATATTTAAATACTGCTTGAAATAAGAAGCATTTGCTTGCAAAAATTTTATTCATTTTTTATCAATAATTTAAATAATCACCAATTACCACAATAAAGAGTTGAAATTATACATTTTTATATTAGTTTTTGAAAATTTAAAATAATGAACTTGATGTCAAAAATATGTCTTGCTTACTTCCTTTCTCAACTAAGCATAACTGTATGGGTGCAAAATATAGTTTTTAATTACAAACTTACCAAATCAAGGATTTTAGAGTTGGCACCGGCTTCTTTGAGTAGTTTGTGCAGTGTATGATTTCCTTTTTGGCTTACTATATGAAGTGCAGTCCGGCCTCCCTTAAATAAAATAAAAAATATATAGTTTCAACTAAGTCATTGATCAGTTCTGTCAGAATTGAAAGAGATTTGAAGGGAACAATTTGAAATTTTAATGTCAAGTCTTAAAGATTAAACCCTCTCTTTAAATTCAGTACGTAGTTCTAGGTTTCAATTATTCTATATATAATAAAGTATTAAACTATATACAAGCAATGAAATGGGGAAAAGCATTAGGAATATTTTGTTTAAAATGCATTTATGTATATATATNTTTCTTAAAAAGTTTTTTTTTCTGTGAACAATGTTTTTTTTTCTGTAGAATTTACAGTTATTTAGTGCATATGCATTTATATGCATTTATATAATATATAGATTGATATAATATATATATCTATGTATATATATATAAATTGAATTGTTTTTTCATTAGCTAAAAGCAGTTTTTATAATTAGTTCAAAGGTATAACAAATTGTTAATGAAATTCAACAAAAAGCGTCCATCTCCTGGCTCGAATTCTGTAGTTAAATCCGCAATAAACGCTACTGAAATGTTTCAAAAACAGCAAAAGAGGTTTATTTAAAGTTTTTAAATAGTATAACATGTTTCAAAATACAGAATCTGAAAGCAAAACACGGTCTAATAAAATTACTGTATTGCGCGGTAAGGACATCTCTGGTAAAAAAAAAAAAACATAATTCTGATAATAAAAACCAAAATATACGGAGTTTAAATCATTCATTTGACAATTTTTCTTTCAAATGGTAACAGTTTACCGAAAATTTTGATTTTTAGAATTATTTTTCTTATTAACACTTATATAGTCAAAAATACATAAACTGAAATTTAATTTTAACCGAATAAATGATTTTTATCATTCTCAAATGTATCATGACAAATTACCAAATTTTATAACCTATCATAAAACCATAATTTATTGTTACTTTTACCAAAATCATTACTAAATCGCTACAGTAAAAAATACCAGGATTTTTGGTGTTCCTATAGAGTCAAAAGCACGGTAAATTTTACCATTTTCTGATAGTTTTAACCATACTTTTTGTGTATTATTGACTATCCAAGCTCTAAGTGTCTATTCGCTTCAACTAATCAGGAATATGTATATCACATCCGAGATTTGCAATTTAGTGATTGTTATTCAACATTTAAAGACATTACAGAACAGTCCTCTGTGTCATTTGATTCTTGGCAAGCAATTTAGAAACATCCTTGGGTCATTAGAAACGTTTCTGTTTAACGAGCATATAACAATGAACGTTTTCAATGTGCCATTATCATTCAGGCTCAAATAGAACAACATCGGGTTCCCCGTATTTATTTACAATACAATATAGACCAAAAACACGATAAAACATGATGGAGTAATATATAAAAGGTGTTGAAAGTGTTATGATAAGCTATAAAGTCAGTTGGAATTATTAGATGATTCGATGCATGCTGAAGATTTTCTCATTTTTGTATTTAATTCAGCAAAATTAGGGTAGTAGACGTAGTTCCAGTTTTGCCATCTTATTAGTTATAAAAGATTTATATATTAAAATATCACTATATGTTTTTTTGCATTTGTCTTATTAAATCTTTTATAACCTTTTAAATTGTTAGTGAAAACATCGGAATCAATGCCTCACTTGCCTGGATATCAATGTCAGGAGCATAAATATGTGTCAGAATTTGCTATGTTTCCCTTTTTCTTCATAAAAAATGAATAATTTCTTGATTACTAGATATATTTACTTGCGCGTGATTTCATTCGTTTCATCGTAAAAAATAAAATTGGAAAAATTACATAGCTTGCCTAGATAAAAGCAAAAATGCTTTGCCCCCACTCCCTTACTAAACTTTAGAGTTTATCTCCAAGGTGTAAACTTCAGCTATTCATACTGCGTCTCTAAATCCAATTTTTAGAAGAATTTACAGCTTTTCGGACTTCTTTTTATCAACACTGAGAGAAAAAATATGATCAAAACTACCAGAATATATTATAATTTACCGTGTTTCTGGCTCAATGGGAATACCAAAGAACTCAGTAATTTTTACCGAATCACTTTGGTAATGGTTTTGATGAAATTAACAATGAAATATAGTTTTATAAAATGAGATAAAATTTGGTAAATTAGGTAAAGTTTAAAAATTTTATCATGATACCTTAGAGTATGGAAAATACCATTTTTATTCGGTTAAATTTACTTTTCAGTTTTGTATTTTTTACCAATTGTGTGGTAACAAGAACCATAATTTTAAAATGCAGAATTTCCAGTAAAACGTCCCAATATGAACGTAAAAGTTAAAATACCGTATATTCAATTATTTATTAACCGGAATTATGCTCTTTTTTTTACCAGAAATGTCATTACTATACAACACTGTAATTTAAAAAAACTTTAATTTAATTTAGCAGAACGTGAATGGTGACATTTTCTACGTGTGACGATTTCTGCATTCAGTTACTCAGTTACGGGCCTCAAAATTTATGGCCATATTAGGTTGCTAGCACACACTTTTTTCGGTCCTTCTCAGCCATGTTCGCTCCTTCCCCCCGACAAAAACAAATCGAAAAAAACTTTAAATTCCACAAAACAAATTTAAAGATAAGGATATCTGCATTCTAATTCTGCTTAAATTTATCAATTCTTGCCTCCCTCTTTGACGACCCTAGGGGTGGTCTTAACACCGTCTGAGCCACCATTCTGTACCGAAAACCTTATAAGAGGGGGACAACCACAAATGATTTATAGTTTACAAATTTTGTGGTGGATTAGATTGCATTGATCGAATCAAAGGTGCTTACTCGTAGCCTAATAGAAAAAATGAATCAATAACCACTTATCCGTAAATTGATTCCATTTTTACTTTACTTAAGGCTCCATTTCAACCAAATTTCAGTCATAAAATAATAGTCAAAGCCGTGGTTCACATATTTCACAAAAAGTATCACCACATACAAATCGACGTTTTTATCTCAAAACTCCAGAGGTTCTCCAGTTTTTCCCCCATAAACCTTGTAAAAAATATTTTTTGCAAACATAAAATAAACAAATATCTAATAGTTCTAAGTATCCTGAAAATTTCAACAGAATCAAAAATCCAACCTTGCTTATCTCTTCAAAAAATTTTCTTAAGCAATGAATTAACTTACAGAATCCTTAATATTAAGGTGAGTTGGATAATTTTTGGCAAAATGTTCAAGAACATCAGAAGACCCAACACTTGCAGCAAGGTGAATAGGAAAAGCTCCCGATTCATCTTTAGCTCGCATTAGATTTTCATTTTTACTGAGTATTGTCTTAAGTTGTTCCAGGTCATTACTTTTGATAGACTCTCGAAAAGACTGGATACTATTCTAAAATACAAAAAAAATACATTTGTTTACTGAAATTTCGAATATATTTAATAATCTTAATCGAACATTAAGAATATAATGTTACTCTAACTGACTTTAAATACTTTTAATATGAATAAGTAATTCATGACTTTTCATTTAACTTTAGACAAGATAATGATTTTACATCAATATAAATAGCACAAATCATTCGAAGCACATTATTTTTCTTTTTGATCACAAATTAAAATAATTAAGATAAAATAACTTTATAAGGATCATAATATCTTAGCTTACAAAATTCACAGAAAACGGAAACGAAAAGTTTTTAAATATATGTTTTTATTTAAATTTCTGTTATGGCTGCTAGCTGATTCTATGTAGTCCCTCTTGCAAAAAATATTTTTTAGTCAAATGTTTTGCAATACTTTATTATTCAAAACAGAATTTTCTGTTCAAAGGAGAAAAATAATACATTATTTACTAAACTACTATGAAACAAAACATGGCAATTTGAAATGTTTTGAATAACAGCATTCTGAAATGTTTAGTTTAGAAATGTTTAATTTTGATTTATGGATGTTATGGTCTGAACTCACCTGAAATATATTTCGCTGTGATCTTTTTCACAAGCAGAATGTATAAATATTTTATGCTTTTAGTACAACTACACTTTTTGAAATATTCCAATAAAATATTTTTCAGTAAAACCTTTATGATTAATTAGATTCATTTTAGCTTTTTCAGACTTTTTAAAAAATAAGTTTTAGTTGCATCGATATCCAAATTCAAAAATAACAAATTTTAAAAAAATTAATGTTATCTTATTAGTAGCATAAAATGCTAATGGTACAGGGCATAGTGATCCAAGGTACGAATGGATTCAATTTTTGACACATTTTCCATTCCTTCAGCTTGTTTTCAAAAGCATATGCTCACAAAGAATATATTTATGGAAAAATGCGCAAATACCTGCTATTTAAATTTTTACTTTCAGAATAAAAAATTAAGACTTGAAATTAATTCAAGGTAAAGCACACGCTCTTAAACATTTCCATACTTATTTCAGAATTCAATTGTCTTGATCTAAACTAGCAACATAAAAAATAAATGAACGATATAAAGTTAATCCTTATAACCTCCAAGCTATGCCCTTAAATTAAACCGTATAAATAAATATTTTAGTGTTTAATAAAAGATTCTAATTTTTTTTCTCGTTCATCGAAAAGTTGATATTTACCAAATATAAAGGAAGCTCTTTGAGAAAGTTTTTGACATCATCATGCCAGGAAGTTTTTCCTAATAAGTGTTTACCATGTCCTTCAAGTACTAGTTCTTGAAGTAGTTCAACATCTCCTCGTTGAAGAGCAGCAGTCATTCTTTCAAGGACTGAAACAAACATAAATTTATAAAATACTCAGGAGAATTCAGAAAGCATACATTATTTACTGAAACACCTATTTTAAAATAAATAATAAAAAATAGGTAGGTTTCTCTTTTTTTTCCAACAAAAAATCCAGTTGTATAATCTAATATTTTGTCTTAAAAGGTTCTTAATGACTTTTTGAGAAAATAAAAGAATATTTTTCAGGTCAATCTAAATTATGTAACAGGGGGTTCCGTAAAGACTGCCCTTAATCTTTATTTTTAGAATCTTTATCAAAACTGAACACAAAAAATACACATATTAAACCGCACAGATATAATAATTGGCAGGAGAAAAATGTGACAAATCTGAGTTCGGGAAAGCGAATGTAGTAAGCAAAAAGACAGGTTTGCTTGCAGGATTGAAAAATAATAATTGGAAACACATCCAGGTCTCAACCTCCATTTAAATCGATTTTAATGTTTATTGCATTCACCTTTTCGTACTGTAAACTTTCATATCTCAATAGATTTTTGTTTATTCCTGGATTAAATCTTAATTTACGATAGCGAATGTGATACTTTTAAGTTTATTTTTGATGAATATTCAAAATATATAAATAAATAAATAAATCCGGTTTTTATGGAACACCTAGTTTGTCATAACTGAAAACAAGTAATGAAATTCACAATTAAGTCCATTGTTCAGATTTTTGATCAAAATCCAAACTGGAGTTTCTGGAAGGGTTTCACATTTCTGGAGATACTGTTAGCTTAATTGCAAATAGCTTATATTTGACTTAAAATTCTAGCAATTTTTTACTTTGTTTTATATGTTCATTTTTGAAAAATTTATTTAAATTGCATTTTTAGTTGCAGTAGTTTTGAGAGAAGCTCTAGATAGCTGATTTGATACAATATTTTAAAACGATCTCTTTATTTAATGTCCACTAAAAATTTAAATAAAAACATTACTCATGCAGTGAAAAAAATTCCAGATCAAATTACGATGTAAATTACGAACACTTTGGGTTCATTATCCATAAAATTCATTTTATAAACATACATAAGTCTGTACTACTGTATATATTACTATACATTTTTATGTTTCTGATATATTTTGTTCTACCTGAATTTATTTGGCCATGTGTGCAAAGCAATTAAAACCAACCTTTTGAAATCATGCTTTCCGGAATGAATAGCAGAGATTTGAATAAATATTTAATCAAATTTAATTTCAATTATCTTTTAGTATTATTAAATGAATTGACTTATCTTTAAGAAGGCTAATAAAAAAATTTATTTGATTGCATTCTCGAGACACTTGAGTAGGTTTAATTTGTAGAGATAATGTGACAGTGCAAAGCATTTCATGTCTTAACTCTGTTAAGGTCTTTCACTTAATTAATTTAATCTAGACAAGAGTTGTTGTATGTCGAAAGGGAATTCGGATCAATTGCATAAATCTAAACTTGCACAATGACTTCCTCTTGTCAAATTGCTTCCTCACTGTCTTATAGTCTGTACTCCCTATAATAGTAGACTCTTCAAAATAGCTTCGTTGGATTAAAAAAAATTACATTACTCTAAACACACTACTATTGTTTTATGAGAATTAAAAATTATTTAAAATTTAACTGGTAAATAAATAAGTTATATGTACTAATTCTCATATTAAAATAATTTCCTAAGTTTGATTTGAATATTAATGCCCCCCCCCCCCAGTTTGAAATTAATATATATTTAAATGCAACTGAGTTTTACTTTTTCTAATATAAGTTATTTTTAATAATTTTGGAACTATTTTATTTCGAAGGGATGCGAAAAGTTTCCAAACTATTACTGACACCAGTCATGTCTAATTATTAATGATAATATGTACCTTTTTTACTAATATAGGTACCTGATATATTCTTTGAAAATTCCGGATCGAATTACTGTAAAAAGTACCAGTATTCAGGCTGCCGGGATTTTTACTATAAAATCAATGTTTAGCGGAATATGTTACGAAACAAAAAGTTTTATAAAATGTAGTTTTTATAGTAATAATTACCGTAAAGCCGTGGTAGTTGAGGGGATAGAGCGTTGGCTTTTCAAAGAAGTGACTCGGGTTTGAATCCCAGCGATGGCTGGTCGGTTCGAATTCCACACCTGACTCACAACGACCACAGTGTGTCTTAAAATATCATCAGTGGTAGACGGATCATGGGTTAGAGTCCACTTGCCGTCAGGCTAACCATGGGAAGTTTTTATGGTTTTCCTCTCCATGTTACGTAAATGCAGATTAGTTCCACCAAAAAAGTCCTCCACGAAAACTAATTTCTCCCAATACTTGATCCAGGGGTTCCTTTGTGCTTTTGATTGGGTTTAAAATTACAAGGCTACGGAGTTAAACATTAGTAATCGTAAACTCAATATTTGATCGGCTGTTACAAAATAAAATAATTTTGTGACAGCGACGGTTATAAAATAATATAATTACCGTAAAATCACTGAATCTTTATAAATAAATAAATATTATAAAAATCAGGTATAATATTTTATGGTGAAAATGGATTTTAAAGAATGATGCCCCCAAAGTACAAGTACTTTATACCGTAAATTTATATGAAATTTTTTACGGCATAGCTTCTGTTGTAATAGGAATTTTAAGGCCCTCAAAATGGAACTGTACCATAATTATGGTTTTTGTATGTATTTTCGGAATTAAACGTAAGAATGTTTTAGTTATGATTATACTGAAATTTCTAAATTTGCTTGATTACATGTTGTCTTGCTATTTGCATTCAGACTCTCTTTATAGTGTATAGTCTACTCTTACGGGAATAGTAAAAACTACAAAATCATGCAATCGTACTAATTTTTTCTATTTTATTCTAAATAAAAAGAAACACTCTTCTAAAAAGTTAAGCAAATATTTACTAATCAAAAATTTGTGTCGTAAGTTAAAAAGCTATTCGTACTAACTATCGGGTTAAAATATTTTTCAGAACTATGATTTGAGTGTTAATGCAATTTAAAATCTCATATGTATTCAACAGAATTAAATTTAAATTTTTCTAATAAATATCCCAGAAAATAATGATAGCTTTTTAGTGTTTTTAGACTACATCATTAGATACTTTTGTTTTCTTTATATATGCTCTCCCTAATAAAAGCTACAAAATAATATTGTAATCTTAATAACATTATCTTTATTAATTCAAATAAGAAAACCACTTTTTGAGAAATATTTACTGTTTAAAAATTCTCTCAGTAAGTTGCTCGTACTATTTTATTTTATTTTATTACCGTCGTTGAACAGCCAACCCAATTTTTGGGTTTACGACTACTAATGTTCAACTCCGTAGCCTTGTAATTTTGAACCCAATCCAGAAGACAAGGGAACTCCTGGATCAAGTATTGGTAGGAATTTGCCTTCTTGGAGGACTTTTTGATGGAACTAACCACGCGTTTGTGTTACATAAGGAGAAATAATTGCAATTCTGAAATTTCCTCTCATTAACCAAAACTAATAATTCATGTATTGATGATAAAAAAAAATGGGAAAATGCACATTATGAATAAGATTCTAGAACAACGAATGAATTCAATCAACTTAAAAAAATCTCTTGGTTCATAAACAAGTAGCATTTGTTTTTAATTGAATAAAATATTTTATTTTTTGCTTTTGATGCATGATTGTTGAAAATGAAGCTTTTCCGCTTTGTTAAAGTTATTGAATATTCCCAGCAGTTTTTATTCTAAATTAATAATGTCTATTTAAAAATAAAAAAAGAAGTAAAAGTATCAGTTTCATCCTAAGAGATAAAAAGTTTTAAGTAAACAATGAATGTATTAAATATGCTTAGATCTTTATTACAAACTGTTTTTTTTCTCTTCTTTTCAAAAAGAAATAGAGTACCTTGATAAAAAAGGTTTATTATTTTGGGAGTGGAAGTTATTTAATTAAAAAGTTAACTCCTACATAAACTTTAACAAATTAATAAAAAACTGATAACGAAATTTGTTCTGTAAAAAATATCAATGCAATCATAGAACTCTTTTCATGAATTTTGAATATATTTTTCATTAAATATCTGTTTAACTACGAAAAAGGAAAATGTAAAATGTTCCGATCGTAGCTATTTACTTGTTAAAAGTTGCAATCGATTTTTCATTCAAAAATTTTTATCTTGCTTAAATTAAGTTCAAACCTTGCACTCGAATGCCGGGAAATACAGGATGTTTCATAAAAACTACCCTTTATATGTATTTTTAGAAACCTTATCACGAATAAAAAAAAAGCATGCCCTTGTGGGTGCCACAAAATAATATGTAAGCAAGTAAGAACAATAAAGGCTATCGAAGTTTGAAAAATCACGGTACAGGAGACGGGAGTAATAAACAACGAAACATGTTTGATTGCGTGAGAAAACAAAGAGGATGTGAAAGACGATTATTAGAAAAATCTTCAAGTTAAGTACCTTTAATTAAACTTAATATAATATTACTTAAATTCACCTTCCTGCTAAATAATTTGTCATTTTAATTGCAAATTTCGTTTTTTACCCGTTTAAACATTAATTTGTGACCCCCAATGTGTATTCTTTTCTGTTTTCTTTTCTGATGAGGATTCTAAAAATACGCATTAAGGGCGGTCTTAAGGGAGCGCTAGACATACTATAAGTAAAATATGCGTAAAAAATTAATGATTTTGTGTCCTGTGTGATGAAAGAATTAGCTAAAACATAATGTGCTTAAGTATAAAATAACGTGAATAAAGCACAAATCAAGTACAAAAATGGAGATGCTATAGTTTCAGTTCTCTAATTAAGAACCTTAATTAGTATTTAAACAGCAAAGAAAAATTATTTTCGTTTGGTGCGTTGAGACGTAGATCTCGTTAATGAAACTATATTTTGGTGCTTAAAAATTGAGGATGGTTCTTGTTTAGAGAACCGAAACTATAGTATGTCCATTTCTGTGCTTGATTTGTGCTTTATTTACGTTTTTTTTTCACTTTATTCTACGTATTATAAAATGTACCCCATTCTTTTAGATTACGTAACATATCTAAAGATAACAAAAATGAAAGAAAGAAGTGATAAGACCTTTTTTCAGTTTTATATATTCTGACTCCAAAATTTTGAATTTTTTTTTTTAAAAACCTGGGTAAAACTATATAGTTTTCTTACACATAATTAAGGTTCCATGAAAAAATATAGTGAATAAGAGAAGATTTATTTTTATAACTGATTTTGGCAATATGCTTTTTGTGTGAAATATCTCATTAACAGCTGGAGCAGAAAAAAATTCAGTTTATAAAACTACTGTAAAAAGTTATTTAATCATTACATACCACCATGCCTACTAAAGCGATTTAGTGTTTCAGTTCCTCTACCACCTGCAGGTCGGCTCTTCATTATTCCTTTATTTGGCATAGTTATAAGGTGAGTTTTATAATAATCAGGCGTCCTCCCATGCTGAAAAAAAATAAAGGACGCGTAATTAATATTAGCAAAAAATAGCAAATTTAAGTAAAAGTTTAACATTAAGAATCTGAAAAAAAATGAACATTTCAGTGATAGACGAGTTATAATTAATAAAAAAATAGCAAATATAAATACATACTTTCAGTAAAATTTTTCTATTATGGACCATAATATTAGTAACTTGAATCCTTATAAGGTGTAAACTTGATACAACCTTGCTAAAGTGATTCAATCAAGTCTACGTTCAAGTTGAATAGTAATGTAATCAAATTTGGAAAGTACAGTAATATGGTTTAATTTAACAACGCATTAAAGTTGTTGCAAAGTTGTACGATACTGCGGTTCAACACGTTTGAAATTTTCCAACATTACTAGGTTAGAAATTTAGTATGACGCAAATCATTTATGTGAACGGCGAGTTGAGCATTTCATTAAAAATAAGAAAAAGCATTCATAGTTTATCTTCAAATCTTATAAGACGCATCATAAGAATTGAGAATTGCATACCAAACCTTAGCCGGAAATGTCATCATTCGCTGTTTGGGGATATTATATATCATAGACTAGAGTCTGCTCTTACGTAAGGGCTGTATGTGTAAGGGCAGCCAGTCTATAATAGGAAAGAGCCCCTACCGGCATACGATGATATTTTCGGCTATGCAATTCGAAATCCTAATGATGTGCCCTACCTCTCCTCTAAAATTGTAACCACTGTACTCAATCACCATGTATACTTCGTTTAATTATATTAATGGATAATTGAAATTCAGATTCCTCCTTTTATTCTGACTGGTCTTTTTGAAATTCTGAAAAGTTCCTTTTATCTCAGTTATTTATAATTATTTTAAAAATATGTATATAATCTTGATTGTTTATTTGAGTCTAAGTTTGATATATTTCTGAAATTAATGAACGTATTCATGCAAATATCGTTGATTAACCAGTTTGTCTACGTTCATTTTATTTCTCAAAGTAATATGTGAATTAGTACAAATAGTTAGAATATTTCGTTATGAAACTCATGTTTTTTTTCATCATTAGATTAAAGTATTTTATTAAAGTTTTATTTATTAAAGTTTTATTTATTAAATATTAATCATATTCTGACAAGTAATGCTCTGTTATTATTGTAGTGGCATGGAAAACTTATAACATCTTTCAGCTTCTGGCTATTTATACATCTTTCTTTAAAAGACACGAATCTTTAAGAAACTGCATATAAAAACTGTATGTTATCGAAAACATTAAGCTATTTTGAAAGACTAATAATTTTTTTTTGTACTGCTATCAAATTATAAGAAACAATGCACTGGCAAGACACAAACTATTTTGTATTTTTGATAATTATATCAGGATAATTATGACATTTATTCATAATACCTATTATTATTAATCATATTTTTGACAATTATTTATCCTCTTTATTTCAAAAATTCTTCTCGTTTCATTTACTAATTTAAAAAATTTCATCTTTTGAATTAATCTTTTCATTTAAATCCAATTTTAATAAGAATTATAAATGTCATGTAATCAAGCTCTATTAGTTCGCAGTATTTACTAATATTATAATACAGTTTTTAATTCTTATACTGGAATTCATTAGAATTATGTTTTCCGTTTAATGGTTTTAAATTATTGGTAAAATGAAATTTAACAAGAAAAGAGCTCCATCAACGGCTAGTGGTTGGTCAAGAGGATTTAGAGGTTAAGGCTTCAAAGTATCGTAACCAATGGCGTGGTGGTAGTAGCGTGGTCACCATTACGCCCTGACCGTCTTTACTTTCCATACAATCTATTACCCATCGATTTAAAACTGTATGAGCTGAAGGCCACAACCGGGGACAGAGCTCCGGTCTCCTTCACTAGCATCTCAGTGCCTTGAATATTTTGTCAACATAGCCAAAGTAAAATAAAATAATTGGTGAAATTAAAAGTCGCTCATACATTATCTCTGATTTTAGGGTCTGCACCAGCTTGAAGAAGCATCTTGTACAGCTGCTGGCCATCCTTACGAGACATTGCGGAAGCATAGTGTAAGGCAGTAAGACCAGTCTGTAAACAAAAATAATAATTAATCTCAAAATTGTAATAATATATTTATTATTTTTAAATAATATTAAAAACAGGATTTTTTAGTTAATCAAAAAAATCTAATGTTTTCAATTATCAAATTTGAAAAATAAAAAGGAGTGAGTATTGAACAATGCACAAAACGAAAAAGCGATTACCCTGAATAACTTTTCTGATCTAATAATGAACGGATTTTCACGAAATTAGGGCTGAATTGTTTGAGAGCATAAGCTAGTTAATTAGTGCAAACAAAGGGCCGGGATAGCCTGGTCGGTAGGGCGCTGGGCCCATATCCAAGAGATAGTGGGTTCGATCCTCGCCGGCCGAAGACTGCCCGTGTAGTAAATGGTGACTGATGCACGTTAAATCTGTCAAGTCACAAAGTCCTCCATGTTCCCACAACAAATCAATACCTCTGGGGGTACTGATCCAGGAGTTTCCTTGTCTTCTGGATTGGTTCAAAATTACAAGGCTACGGAGTTGAACGTAAGTAGTCGTAAACCCATGAAATTGGGTCGGCTGTTCAACGACGGTTATAAAATAAAATAAAATTAGTGCAAACAATATTTTAAGTTACGAAATCAAACACAGAAACGTACTTTCTCTGAATAAACGTACCTTTTTTTAACAAATATGGATTTCTCACCCTCAAAATATCACCATAAAAGTTTAAACAGAAGAGTGGTTATAATTGTTCGTTTCGCGTATTTAGAAATACAAAATATGGGTTTTTAATAAGATTCGAAATCCGACTGTTATATAAATTTGAAAATTCAAATAATTCGAAATAAATAACTCAAAGTGTATAAAAAAAATTCAAAGGGAACATACATGATAATACAAACAACTAAGTTTACAATAATACAAACAGTTAAGTTCATAATTCATATGAATGTGAATTACGATAAAACATATCATGAAAAGTATGACTCATATGCGTGTTTGCTATTCGTTTATTGCCTGAATAACACTTGCAATACAACGTCGGAAAGTGATCATCAAATAGCATGATTTGGTTCGATTTGTATAATGATGCATAGCATCAAGAGAAAAATGATTCTTAACTTAATCACATAAAAAATTATCGCTGAAATTGCTATACATCACAATATATCGCTATAAGACATAGTTGGAAGACTCAGCTTTGCGTGCTTAATCAGAATCTCAAAAAAGCTGAATTTTTGGTAATCTGAGCTAGGACTTAGTTCGGAAGAACGATGTTCTACTGCATTTGGAAAATATGATCCCAAAACGGAGAAACAAACACGGAGAATAAAACTCTGATAAAATCACCGTACTGTGTGACAATGGCATTTCTAGTGAAAAAATAAATCATAATTCTGCTTAATAAGAAATATATGGTATTTAATCCAGTTATTTGATAATTTTTCCGATCATATGTCAGTGATTTACCGGAAGTTCTGGTTTTCAAAATAGTTTTATTATCAAACATTTAATAAGAAAATACAAAGCTAAAAGGTAAATTTAACCGATCAACCAGTTTTTATGCCGTCTTCTAAGGCAGGGGTCGCTAAACTTTTTGGATCATCGACCCCTATATAATTTTTCGAAATCTCCATCGACCCCCATAAAAGTAATTTTCTGTTAATTAAAATAAAACTCTATCAGATACCGTGTTTGTACATTTATTTCATGATGTTAAACATTTATTAAAGTAATAGTACATTGTATAACGATAGTTTTATGAAAAATATAATGTTGAAATTTAAATACCTTAATATTTATTAAATAATAAGTAATTATATAAGTAGAAGTAATAAGTAAAGTAACTAAAGATTTACTGCTTCTTAATTAATCAGATGGTTGTTCCTGGTGTTTTTTTGCAAGGTTCGCTATATTGGGTTCAAAATTGGTCAATTTTAATCTTAAATCCCCTTGAAACTCCACATTTAATTTATTTCTGTTACTTACTAAGTTAAGTTACTTAGTTAAAATTGAATTTATGTCACTGAAACCGGTTTCAACCATAAGGAACTTGGAAATGCTATCATAAATGGCTGAGTTATTTTGAAAAGTTTTACATATTTTTACATTATATTTATATTTGTGCAAAATTTTTCTTATTGTTAAATTTTTAAAAAGCGCCTTAAAATGCTTCAAGATCCGATAATAATTCAGCAAGCTCATCTTGCAGGTTGATGTCCACGTTTTCAATTTGAACAGAAAATGGCACAATAATCCAATCAGGGATGTCAATGTTTTCCAAATCAACAAAGCGCAGTTTAAAACCGTCGCTCAATTTTTGAAGATGGCCTGTATATATTTCCAAGGCTTCTTCTTTTATTTCAATTGTCGCAGATTTGAAAAATACTGATAATTCTTACTTAGCGATGAAGATCAAAATAAATTTAATTTTACTTGGAAGCCTAACAGTATTGTTTGAGCTTCGATAAGTGTTACATCTTTTTATTGCAGCTTTGTTGTTGTATTGCTCTGTATTGTTGTTGTATTGCTGTTTACTACTAACTGGAAATTAAATTAAACTTATTTCATACAAAATTGTTATTAAGAACAGTTAAAGACACACATCAGATTAAAATAATAATATTTTCAAAAATTTTGTAATTTTCGTAAAGAAATACAAAGTGTGCTAGTTTTGTCGCGGGCTGTACAAATCCATATTATTAATGCCTACCTTCTTTTTTACATGTATTGATAATTAAAATTGATACTAAATTGAACGAATGGCTTTATCAAAACAATAGCTAATTATCCAAAACTATAAAAGTTTTAATAGTGACACTGCAAATATTAAACACTGTTCACAGTTTGCAAAGATAGCTGAAACTGCGTATGATATTTGCTTTTGTAACGTCAATGCTCGTCGCAAGTGTCATTTGGACAAGCGCACATATGCATATGACTTATAAACCAGAAGTGCAGAGTTCGTGCCACTGACCGCTGATACGTAAATACTTGTTTCACCCGAACTAATATACGTTTATTAATTTATGTTCTATAAAGAAACTGATATTAAGTTAATCATAAAAAAATTCACACATTTTACATACTCAATAAGGTATGTGCGATTTGCATATTATAAACTGTTTTTTCTTCGACTCTTCCGATTCGGATCGACCCCCTGGCTCAAATCGACCCCCACTTCTGTTAAATAGACCCCTGGGGGTCTATATAGACCACTTTGGCGACCTCTGCTCTAAGGTATCCTGATAAAATTATCAAATTTTACGACATTTACAATCAAACAGCATAGTAATAAGACCAGATTTTATTCCAGATTCATTTTACCAAAAATCCTTACCAAAACTTTTCGGTAAATATTACTGAGTTTCTTGGCGTTCCTATAGAGCGAGAAACATGGTAAATTTTACCACATTTTAGTAGTTTCAACCGTACTTTTTCCTCAGTGTTGTTATCATAAGTAATTTAATACCTAAAATAAGTCTGTTATAACCATACCTTATTTTTTGCGTTAATGGTTTCAGGAAATTTTTCGATTAAAAATTGAACGATTTTCGGTTTTCTTAGGAGAACTGCTTTATGTAAAGGTGTCATTCCCATATGATCCTTTGCTAAAGCGTAATCTTTTTCATCAAGTTGGTTTTGAAGTTCATTCAAATCATCACTTGAAACAGCTGTATGAATCGCATTCACACGATCAACCATTTCGGTGATTTTATGTCCTATTTCGTCCTTATCTTCTGATTCATCAGTTGTATGAACTTTAACAACCTTTTCTCCATAACCTTCCATGACGGCTTTAGTTAGCTTTTCCATATCTTTCGAAGAAACCCATCTTCTTATATTTGCACTATTGATATCTACACCTAAAATTATAAGAATTTTATGCGTTTATGTCCTATCTATTTTGGTACAAAGAAAACAACAAAATAATATCTATAATACATGTAAAATGAAATGTAACTTGGCATTTTAAGAAAGCATCCAGTGGATGCTAAAAAAATAGATTTTTTTCTTTCTTTGAGTTTCTAATATATAGATCTGAAATAAAAAATTTATAAAATAATATTTGAATAATTTATAATTTCGCTAAGTTAATGTAATCCGAGTAATCCCCAATACAGATAAAACATCACAATCAGTTTTATATAGGGCATGAATGGAATATAAAATTAATAAAAAATACATAAAAATGATAGAAATGTTATAAAAACTCACTGTAAAAAATTCTGGATTAAATTTTCGTATAAAACGTCGACAATTTTTTGCATCATCCATGAAATCCGATTTACAGTTAAATATTGCACCATAATTTTTACAGTAATATTCATTTTATTAGAGCGATTCAGTGATTTTTCAGTAATTTAAAGTAATTAGTACTGCAAAAAATTTTATTTAACATATTTTTTGCTAACTTGTTTCTGTGAAAATAGATTTTATGGTAAACAAATCCGGCACCCTAAGGGCAGGTATTTTATCTTAATTTAATTCGGAATTTTTTAAATTTAAAATTAGACGAAGTTAAATTCAAAACTTAAGTATCACCTAAAAACTTAAGTACCACCTAATGAAATGAAAAATAGAAATTATTCTCTTAAATTATTAATGTAAATTTTTAATACCAAGATAGATAGTATGTGTTTTAGACTCATAAACTGTTAGTAAAGCCCCAACTAACTTGCAAAATGCTGTGTTGCTGGAAAAACCGCAATTCAATGAACGTTACAACGGAAGAGTTTGAAATTTAAATAATCAGTGGCATGCACTGAGGAAAAAAAGTAAGGTTAAAACTACCAAAATGTGGTAAAATTTACTGTGTTTCTGGTTATATGGAAACACAGAAGAGGACTACAATTTTTAAAAAGGTGTTTTAGTAATAACTTTTGACCAAAATAAAACAAAATATGATCTTATTACCATGTGGTTGGGTAGTAAATGTGGTTAAATTTGGTACTTTTATGCCTTAGAGCATGACATGAAAGCCATTTATTCAGCTAAATTTATTTTTCAGTTTTTATATTTGGTAAATAGCAATATTAACTATAATTTTGTAAACCAGAATTTCAGTAAACCGTTACCATACGAACAGAAAAGTTGCAAAATGAATGGTTTAAATGCCGCATATTTTACTTTCATTACCAGAATTTTCTTCTTTTTTTTTACTAGAAATGTTTTTTAATTCGGTTCTGTAATTTTACCAGAATTTTTTTACATGTTTTAGTACTGGGAGCTTGCTGCTCAAATAATACATTAAAATTATAGTTTTAAAATCTTATTTTTCATGTTGTAGAGTAAAAGAATGTTAAGTAACGAAATTAAGTAAAGCAAAATGGAGGGCGCATCACTTTTGAAAGACATTAGGGAGATTTTCGGTTGTGGTTTGTTTGCATGAAGTTTTCTATGTGGCTCGACTTTACAACTAGTTATAGCCTATTAAATACCAAGTAATATTCGATCCTCTTTGCTAATTTGTCAAGAATGCTGATTGTGGTTGATTATTCGCCAAGTAATTGAAATTTTCTGATCGAATTGATTTACAAACCACTAATATAAACTGTTATAAAATGCTTTTAATTGTAGAATAAAGATATTTATGCACTACTCACAAGATTAACATAAATCTGTCTGTTGTATAAAATAAATTTATAATTCATATTATTCATTTAAATTCATATTAATATTCCGTCTATGTTATATGTATGTTTGATTAACAGACTAATTTTTATTTTAAAAAAATATTGCATAGATGCATCCTAAATTTATGATTCTTATTGTGTATTGTATTCTATATTGTATCGTAAAACTTACTTTACTGATTCTTTTACATATCATATCTTACTGTAATTACAAATTTTAGTGTAACTGAATAACAAACATGGTGGTGGCTACTTTACACCAAGTACTGTTAAAGAACATACTTGGTGTTCTACTACACTAAGAATTATCCTTGGTTTAGGTGTAATAGAATGCTTAATGAAGCACTACTTTGTGCAAAATAATTACCACTATTTTTGGTGTTAATATACACGAAAAGTTTTTGATAACTTAATCAAATTTGGTGCAAGATTTTGTCTAAAATTTTTTGTGCATCGGAAATATTTATAAGCATTTAGAAAAGCTTATGATTAAAGAGTTTTTTTAAAATTCCACTTTATTTACAAAAAAATTAATTACTTTTCAAAAAATTTGATCAATTATAAACTTTTTGATTAACCCATTTCCTAAATCAATGATTTTTTTTCTGAAAAAATTATTTTCATGCAGGGTCACCATAGTAAACAAACAGAACTGAGCTGACTGACGGAGTAGTTCTGCTTTTCAAAAAGGGACCAAACTTTTAATTAATTCTTAATTGCTGCATTACAGCATTATACATAGAATAAATAGCACTTTTCAATCTGTTTGAACATAATTATCAAAAATTTGTTACTAATTCTGACGTTTTTCGAAGCTGCTGTGAGGAGAAAAAACATTTTATATAATTTGCAGAGGGTTCTTAAATGTTACAAGACATGATATTCTACTAGATTTATCTTTCACGAAAGATTAATTAAATTTTTAATCTTTACGCTTTAAGAAATCTCAGAAAATTCATGAGACTCTTAAAGTTTTAATTAAGCCACAAATCATTAATGATTTAATTTAAGCTAACAGACTTGTATAAAACTAATGTAAGTATAAAAACAGATTTTCAAAACATTCAGAATGAAATAGAATCAGGCAATACAGAACATTTAAGCATTTTATTAAATAATGACTAGTAAATATTAATTGTAAACTGAATTTATAAAGTCTTTTAAGCAGTTTATCAAAGCATTTTTTGGTCAAATTCGAACTGGAATAGAGAAAGCAAATATTCTTGATTAATCAATTTTTTGAATTTGTATTACATTAATGCATTTTAAAATATATCACGCAGATTAAAATACTTGAAATAATCTCGTTTATTGACAATAATACTGATTTTATGAACAGTTCCCAAAAAGAAAAGAAGAAAAAAACTTTATAAATTTTAATCTATTGATCAATTTTTTTACGCACTAAGATGCAATTTTAATAGTTTGAGGTTCTAAACCTGAAAATACTTATTAATTTGTGCGGAAGATGCTTTAATTTCGAATTCGTTTATACAAAAATAATAATTGGTCTTTAGACTTAGGCAAAATTAAGTTTATAATTGCGTTAAAAAATTTTTGGAACTATTTCAGTGGTAGGAACAACAGCGTAAACAGTACAGTTAACATGGTTGGTTCAAACTCTCCCCGATCTCTTAGTCAAAATATTGAGACATAAGTTGTAGATCGAAACTTCATCCTCGCATACTGTAAAAAAAAATTAGATACGGTATAGAGTATCGGCACTGAAGGTGCTTGCACTTTTTACCGAAAAAATTCATTTTTAACGTAAAATTTAAAGAGGAAAAAATTTTATATATCATAATTTTTACAGCAATTTTTGCAAAATCACCATAATTTAGTAAATATTACTGTTAAAATGCGAAATAGAATTTTATAATAAAGCGTACAGGTACGCTGAATGCAGGTAATTTTTACCGCAATTTTTAGGAACATTTCTAAGTATACTTTTAGAGTCAAAAATCAAAAAGAAGATACATTTATTCAGTGAAAGTTAACTTCTGTTTCTAATTATTTTCTTAAAATATTATCGACATAAATTGATTAGAAAATTTCACGAATCATTAAGATTATATCACTAGATTAAAATTTAATAAGGTGTTCCGTTTTTCCCACACTGCAAGCGTTACTTTAAATAAGAAATTACTATTTTCTGACAATATTGTCATACAGTAAAATAGTAATTAATGTTTTTACAGTTATGGAAAGTATATATATTTTTATACAATAATCATTATAATGTGACTATAAATAGTAAATAAGCATTTTAAATAATGTAAAAGCATAAGTCATGAACTTAAAATGAAGTTACAAAGTCAATAGCTAAACCATAAACAAAATAAATAGAACATATTAAGAAATTTATTTAAATGGGCACTGCCTAAATCCTCTAATATGTATTTTAAAATATCATCAATAATTATTATGGAATATGGGCTTCTTATTAAAAGATAAATAATCATTATAGGGAGAAAAAACAGTTCAAATGAAAAAAATGCTTCCATTAAAAAAAAAACATAAATGTTGAAAAAAAGTTACAAAGAGTAGAAGAAAAAAAAATACGACGAAGTAATTATAAATACAGTGAAGGTCGGCAAAATTAATTAAACCTGATTTTTCTTATATCACCGTTGAAGCAAATTGCTTCAATTCAATTTTTTCTGATGTATTTAGTTTTTTTTTAGCAAAGTGAGCAAATATTGAGAAATCTTTCTAACATTGCACAAATACTACATTTCTGATAGGTGCATCCTCTTTGGGTCTAAAAAGATGGTATGGAAATTTTCCTAATTATTTTTCACTTCAAAATTAAATGTTATATTTTTAAAAAGAATATTTGGCAGTACTCTTTCAGAAAAAATGATCTACGTTAAATAAATCATAGTATCAGTACGTCAGTCCATAAAACGGTGTTAATTTGATGCAAACTTGCTAAATGTAACCATTTTGAGACTCAAGTGTAACAAATTTAAGAAACATGGCCCCTAATTTAGGACGAGATCAAGTTTGCAGTATATTTTAATGATATTATATAGTTCAACAGCACTGTATCAGAGAAAAAGTAACTGAATAAAAGGTAAAGTATTCATTCGAAATTTCAATGAGTTTTTATAACTTATCTTAACATCAAACCAACCAGAATGGTCAAATGAAAACTTTTGAAACTTTAATCAAAATTGTTAAATTCATAACTTCCATTTTTCTTGAAATTACTTCACCACTTTTTTTCTGCAACAAAATACCGTTGTCAGAATGGAATGGAATTTTACACACTAAAGTATTACGCTGATACTTTAGTATGTAAAATTATATGAAGTAATTAAAAAATCAAAACAAAATGATCATTTATTGCAGGGAGAAATAAATACAAATGAATGTAAATTTAAATGCTCTATTGGGCCACCACTGGCGTGAATGCATGATGCAATAAAGAAGATCATTGGGACATACAAGTTCCGAATGATGTTCTGGGCGACATCTCGTAACACGACTTCTGCAAATGTGCCTCTAATTCAACGTAACTCGGAGGCTGTTCAATTTGCCGTCCGAAGTGATCCCAGATATGCTCGATCGTGGACAAATCTGCGGATCGATCTCGCCAAGGAAAGCAGGTATTAAAGTGACGGGAGTCCTGTGACACTATTTCTGCTTGTGTCGAAGCATTATCCTGTTCAAAAATGGCTCCTAGTAACCTTTCCAAGAGTGGAAACGTATGTGGTTTAAAGATGTTATGAACGTGTGACTGGCCTGTCATGGCACAGGGGATCAATATTAGCTGTGATAGTGTGCCTTGCGCGATGACATCTAATACCATCACGTCAGTTATAGGAGCAGTGTGCCACTGCATCGCTGAAGCAGGATTGAAACACACCCACCGTTGCAAGGTCTTGAGTGGTGTCGCGTTCGTCAAAATTGGGTTGAAACCGAAAAAGGTTTTCTTCGGCAACGAAGCCTGATTCAATTTGGGCAGTAGTGGCAATCGTGTACGTGTGTAGATACCCCGTAGTGAACGCATGAATCCTGCCTAAGCTGTACAACAGCACACCGCTTCTACGCCTGGTGAAATGGTGTGCTGTGCCATCGCATTTGACAAACGAAGACTCCTAATATCGTTCACCAGCTCCATGACAGACCAGCGGCACTCTTGTGACATCCTTCAACCGTAAATGTTGCCACTCATGGTAGGTCTCTAATGATCTCTTTTGAAAGCCGGTTGGCCGCACACACCAAGAGTGTCATAAGACTGCCTCCGTCACATAACCATCCTTCCCTGTCCTGCTGGATTCCCAGATTTTTTACCGATCGTTCACTTCTGGGATCATTTCCAACTGCAAGTTGGACAGTCACCAAGTTTAGTCGAATTAAAGGCATGCTTGCAGCAACTGTGGAACAAAATACCGCAGGACATCATAAGGGCTTCGTATGACTCAATACGTGGCAGTATCGCGACGCGCATTCGTGCAATAGTTAGTCCAACATACAAAATTATTATGAATACATACGTTTTGAGAGTTTTTCTTTTTGAAGAAGTGAGATGAGTTCTATATTTTCATTTCCACTTTCATTGCTTTGACTATTTTCCTAAATGTATGAAAGAAATAGAAAAAGTAGTTTACTTACAGAACATTTTCATATTGTTTAATTGATTCTGTTACTTCAAGTAACAAAAAATTGCATAAAACATTGCAGTTTATGTATCAGATCAGTTAAAAATCTCCCGAATTTGTCTTACGCTTTAAAAGTCTTTATGAAGTGTGAACTCTTCAAACAATTTCAGCTGATAATAAACAATAATAAGACAGTTTCTGTTTTATTAAAATTATTTTCGAGATGATATCATGGAAAAATTTCTGAGAAGATTCTCGGAATTTAAATTTCATTTTTACTCAACAAAATTTACAAAAATAGCTTATTTGAAATCGAATTTCGACATTTTGTGCTCTATGGATTATCCCTGCCTCAACATTTCTAGTTTTGTTAGACTCTTGCAAGCGTCATCGTGAAAATATTCCTGAGAGATTTCTAAAACTTACGGAATATTTTTGTATCTATCAAATGTTACCAGAGTTACTTATTTGAAACATGATTTCGACATTTTTTGTATTACCATAACATTTTTAGTTTTGTTAGAAGCTGGTACGCACCATCAAGTAAATATTTCTGAGACGTTTCAAAGGATCCTTGGACCATTTTTGCATCTTACAAAAGTTACTTATCTGAAACGTGATTTAGATGTTTTGAACTGCTTGGTTTATCCCCAACACAACATTTCCAATTTCAATAGTCGTTGGTATTAACTCGCCATTTCAAAATATATCAAGTTTCAAACACAAAACTTAAAAATTGTAGTCGTTGTGGAAAGTTAGTGAAATGCCTTTGAGCCAGAGGAAATTGAGAAGAAGGAGTTAAAATAAAGTAGAAAAAAATTTTGTTTTAGGAATTTGTCATGGCATTTGACTCATTAATGTTAATACTTTATAAAAATTGCAAATGTTTTGAAAAAATAAGTCTAGCGGCATTATGTCTTGAATCAAAAATCATGAAAAATATTTTTTCCTGTTTTTAAAGCTTTATATATTCTGAATACTTCAGTAGATTTTAATTTTTAAGCAAAAACAACGCATATCGATTTGCAGAGCAAACATTTCTAGAATAATTTTACAAAATTAAAGATACCTTACAAAGCATAAAAGAACACTTTTAGCAACAAGCAGCTTTTTTTAATAAATAACAAATGACTTAAACAAGTTGAAGACATTAGACTTTGAAAAAAGCAAATTCTTTTTTAGGATGCTTTATATAATTACAGTTTTAAAAAAATAATTCTTTTAAAATTCTTTACTTTTTAGAATAATCTTCATGATTTTTATGAATTTTTCAGATGATCATTCCTGAAACTTTAAGACAAATTCTTTCATTTTTACATCCACGTCTAGTAGTGCCTTCCTTCCTCTGCCGAGGATCTAAGATCATCCATCAGAAGAATTTTGGCTCCTTCATTGAGCCAAAGTTTTCAATTATCATCATTTGATATTAGATTAAATTGTAAAATGCTTAAATTGTTAACAATTTAATGAAATTGAATTTTTACGAAATAAAATGTTTCACGTGGAAAACATACTGATTAAGTTACCATGCTGTATAGTTTTAGCATTTCTACCAAAAAAACATAATTTTGATTAATAATGACAAGATATGAGGTATTTAAGCCATTCATTTGGCAATTTTTCCGTCAGATAGTAGCGAACCGGAAATTCTGGTTTTCAGAATTACGGTTCTTATTACCATACATTTACTAAATATAAAACTGAAAAGTAAAATTAAGTACATAAAGGATCCTCATGCCATGCTCTAAGACCAAAATTACCTAATTTAACAACATTTATTACCAAACAGCATGGTAATAAGTCAAAATTTATATTTATCTTTACCGAAATTTCATTACCAAAGAGCGTTTTTTCAAAAATTACTATGCTTTTTGGTGTTCCTATGTAACCAAAAATACTATAAATTTTACAATATTCTGGCAGCCATTTTCTTTTTCTCAGTATACTTAGAAATAGTGAAAATCATCAGAATAATATTATAGTTTTATTTAGTAAAAAATATAAAACTGATAAGCTAATTTATCCGAATAAATAGTTTTTATGTCATGCTCTAGGAAGGTATCATGATAAAATTACCTAATTTTCTCGCATATTATAAAACCATATTTAAATGTTAATTTTACCAAAATCATTACCACAGCGCTTCGGTAAAATTTACCTAACTGTTTGGTGTTTCCATAGAGCCAAAAACACGATAAATTTTACTATATTCTGGTAATTTTAACCATACTCTTTTTCGCAGCGTGGAGTATTTATTGAAAATTTCAGAATAAAATCTTTACTTTTCACTAAGACATGATGCCTTTTCTTAACATTATTTTAGTCACCCAATTTATCATTGAAAAATTTCTAGCTTCTTTGCATTCAATTTAGTAGAATTCTGCTTAGAATATTTTTTATTATTTCAATTAAATTACAATAAAATGTGGATATGTAATAAGATCTGACAACAAAATTCAAATATAGCGAAAAAAGTATTACTTAAAAGTAATCTTTTAAAAAATTTGAAACATTTTTAATTATGCTATTTTTTAGCTTTAATATTAATGAACTTTTAATATTTATAACTTTTTATATTAATAAGCCTTTAATTTACCTTTAATAATAATTTAAACGAAAATACTTTGAAAATTTGTGTAATTCAAACTTAAACTTCGTAACTTTACAAAAGAAACCGATATAAGTCTTATAAAATGAAGGATTGTAGAAACTAAATAAATATCTAATAGTCCAGAAAAAGTTTTCTAAAAAAGAGTTTTTTAACAAGCTGAAACATTTTTTTGTTCTTTAATAATCCGATTAAAATATTTTTAACCAAATTCTCAGCTGAAAGAAGAAAAAAAACTTTTGGATTACGTTAATTAGCATATCAGGCATTATGTAACTCCTGTCACAAAAACGTTTTCCTCTTTCAACATAAGTTTTTTTTAATTTTATTTTTTTATTCTCAAAAAAAAGGATATTCACTTGACTTAAACTCCTAAATTTTATTTTATACTAGTTACTTGACGTGAATAATCCAATTATTGACAGCGAAGTATTTAATTTTTGAAAACCGTCGGAAATTTTAAAAATTTGTAACTTTAATTAACATTAGTATTATGAATAAAAATTCCAAACAAAATAATGGTTCTAATTAATTCATTTAAAAAAATTTATTGTGTTGTAATTTGTTGTGTTAACTTCCGCATCACTGTGTTACTCTCTTTCATTCTAGGTTTCAACACCGAAAAAGGAACTGCGTTACAGTACCGAAACAAGAGTTTAAAATTTTATGTCATATTAATTTTGCTTTATATGTTGTAAAAGTAAAGCATTCCCGCAGCAACCCATTGTGGGCCTGGGTGATCATGAAGGTTAAGACTCTCCAATTTCATCACAAACTGCATGCTGGTGGCAATGTGGTCGGCATTGCTCACCAGCCGCCTTTGCTTCCCAGACGAGCTAGTACCCATTGATTTCAAGCTGGGTGGGCTTCAAGTTGTTACCGGGGATCGAACTTCAGTCCCTCTTTAAAAGTGTATAGATCTGAGACCATGCCCTCAAGTCCTTGCCTCTCCCAACATGCAATAAGCCTCTCATACAACATTGCAACATGCCTCTCTCCTAAATCAGTCATAGCTTACTCTCTCAGAAACATCGGTTCAACGTTGAACCATAATACGGTGAGAACCTTCTGTAAACATAATAGGATGGTAAATTGAAAAATGTTTCTGTTCAAGTCAAATTATAATATGGTGCAATGAAATTTATGAAATTTTGAAATTAAGGTTTCAGCATTATGAACGATATTATGATTTTTCAAAGCATGCTTCCATAGTAATTATTCAACAAAAAAACTGCTGTTTTAACTTTATCAATACGCAGTCTTCTTAACTTGGAAAAAATATTTAATTAAAAATAAATTGGATTTTTACTATCATTATATCATTTAATGTAATATTGAACGGGAGCATATTTAACAGGGATTAAAAAATGACAAATCCCAAAATTGAAATTTTAATTTTTTTATTATTTTTTCGTTTCGTTCGCTAAAATTTCCCATATTTTAGACACTTCGGTAATAAAGAAAATAATTTCGAAGTGTTCTTTATCCACTCTTTGATCTATACATTTTAACTTTAACTGACATAGAATTGATTTGAAATAGAAACATTTGAAAATTGGGAACGAAAAAAATTAAGAAGAACTGATACAAAAAATAATAATAAAACTAAAAATTTTTGAGTTTTTTGTGAACAGCTATTATTAAATTTCAAAACATTTTGGTTAAATTTCTCTCTTTTTTTACCATTCATAGCTGTAACTGAAAAAAAATCCTGTATCTATTCTCTTATCGATACATTTTAACTTTTATTTTCGAAGAATTATAAGACTATTTGTTAATTTTTATCGAAACAATTTGAAAAATTTAACAAAAGAATTGAAAAATTGGGAATTTGGAAAAATCGTGAAAGGAAAATTCAAGCACTTTGCAACCCTACAAATTTCTCTGTTTTTTTTTAAAACTCATAGCTTTTCTGCACTATGAAAAATGTTTAAAAAAATAAAAGCGTTTTAATCAACTTTATTATTCACATATTTAAAAACTTTGATTATTTATAAAACAAAATTATTTTTAATTCAATCCCATTGCAATCTTTGCAGTTATTTCTAAATGCGTTTACATTGTAATTCTAATTTTGTTGCCTTAAAATAAATAAAGAAACATGCAAGAGCTAAAGTGAAATTTTGAAATCAGAAGTACATCTGGTTTAAAGCTATTACAATATCCTCTTTCTCTAATTTGGTTATTAATTTCAGATTTGACTCTTCAAAAACTATTTAATATTTCCACAAGCACAATTAAAATGCTTTAACTGATCGCATTCATCTCACTTTAAAAATATTCTACGATTCAAAGAGTTCACAAAAACATTAAGACACTGAAGAGTGAAATAATTGTTCTGCTTCATAAATTTCTTCCAATTTAGT